ACAGTTTCAAATTACTTATTGCGATTCCAGATCTAGTATGAGTTCCATGAATGAATTTAATTTCACAAACATTTTTCCTTTTAGTATTATTATTCTCTTATCAGAACTCAAGAATGGAATGTGTAAGTCAATCAATTAAATTGAATCGTTTAATTTTCTAAAAATATACTATTTTTATCATATTGAATGAGTATATATGCTATAATACATGTTAATGTTTATTTAATTTTTTATTATACAATGTTGAAATCCGGCCATTAAGTGTTGCAATACTAGTAACTGTAACTAGTTGATTTATAATAGTAGAGCTGCGGCAACAGCAGCAACCAATGCACCGGCACCGACTTGAGCAGTATTACCAGCACCTTCAAATAAGGAAACAGTGGTAGTTTGAGTGCTGTTACTTGTGGTTTCATTATGGGAAACTGAATTACTTTGAACTGCAAATGACAAAGTGGTGGTTGTGTATGGAGTTGAAGTTACCTTAACGGTGGAAACCATAGAGGTGGTGACTTCTGGAGTAACGGTGATATCAACATAGGTAACAGATTCGGAAGCGGCAGAAGCAACGGCAAAAGTGGAAGCGATGGTAGCAGCAACGGTAGAGAACTTCATTTTATATTTTTATAGATATTATTAGGTTGAGTTGAGATGTTGAAAATTGACTATCAATTGATTGATATAACTTGTTTGATGATGTCTTCTTCTATGAGAATATATAATAAGACAAGAATGAATCGAAACTTTTATTTTGAACTTGATCAATTCCAATGATCCTTTATATATTCCAAAATTTCATGATTTCATGATTTGACGATTTCTTGATTTCCAATTTTTTTTATCTGTAGATTATTATTAATGGCTTTACCACTATCATGATTGTAGTGAATTTTAGAATATTTCTCCAAAAGAACGATTTGATAATCACCAACTCGAACCTCATTTTTGATCTTGACTCTCCTATCCTGGAAATTTAATTATAAATTATATTAGATCTTGATCCCTTTTCGTGTAGCGACTCCCTCAACCCAAGCTAACAAATGAATTTTAACATAGAGGTAGAATAGCCATTTCGTGTAAATGAGACAAATATTTGATCATAACGCGTAAACGACCCGACTTCTGCCTTTCAAAATTATTTTAAATTCGGTGTTTCGCGTTATGATTTTTCCCGCTTATGCATTATGAAAAAATAAGAGGAAACGAAAAAATAATAGTTATTAATATCTTTACAATATAGTTTCGAGTTGAAATGCGAAAAACGAAAAATTATCTATATTACTTATAATTTTTAATATTATTGTAAATATCATTATCATCATTATCATCATTATTTTCATCATTATTATTTAATTATTATTATTATCTAATTACTATTAAAATCTAAATTCGAGTTTGCTTTTCGTGATTTCATAAACTGTAGCGAAACAATTTCTGCTAGTTCTCTATACTGTTCGCCAAATTCAATAAATTGTTGATCTGATCCATCTTTTAAGGATGGTGAGTGGTATTCTCTAGTTCTTTTCAATCTCTCGAAAATGTCAACTACACTTTCTTGTACTTCATCTTTACCTTTTTTTTTACCTAAAACTGATAATTCATCATCATGATATACCCCTATATCATTAATATATTCAAATTCATTTGATAAAAAATTACCATATGAATTCGATTTAATAAATTTATTTTTTGGATAATCTGTAACTTTTGATAACACGGTAATATCTTTTCCAAAATATACTTTGTCTTCAATTAAATCAATACTAAACTTTGTAGTATTGTCATGAGAGATATCACATTGCATTAGCATACTTAACACCATTTTTTTGTCCATTTTGAACTCGTCACCGAGTTTTAGCTGCTCGATTATATCATCAATTGAAATGCACGAATACAGCGTGGCAATTTTTTTCCATAATTTAATTAATCTAGCCTGTTTGAAAATTTCATGAATCAAAGGATGCCAGCGTATTTTTATTGATCTTAAATTCCTCATATTTTCATATAATTTTTCTAAATCTAATTCCATATAATTTATAATATACCTCCTTTAATTGGGAAAAAACGGGACATTTAGTTCGAATTTTAATTGGTTCCAAGGCGAACGGAATAACTTCATGCCACCTTAATTTATGGGAAACCTACTGCTGGAAACAACCCCGGAACAACAACCCCGGGGAGGACGAGGAATTAAACCTCCAAATTCCCCCCAATCCCCCAATTTTGAAAAATTCCAGAGATATTCGTGATTCTCGCAAATTATCTTTTGTAAAAATAACTCTCCAATTTAAATCCACAATTGGAAATTTGAAAACCCCCAATTTTGAAACCTTGGCGACCTTGGTATGGAAAACTAACTTTAATTCTAAAAAAACCCTCAATTCTTATGCGCCGCATCCGGTTTGTCTTTAAAACGGAAAAATACCCCCATATCTCTGGTTTCTAAACAAGGGGGTATAAAATGGGCTTTTCTCAAGGAAGACTTGGGGGTGATCCAATAAAG